GACTCATGGCCAACCCGTTCGCCACTAGGCTTCCTTCTAAGCCCGAATGTGACAACCAAAACTGAAATCCAAACTTAGAACTCTAGTCTTCCAAGCCTAATAACCTCGCCGAAGTTAAAAGAAGACGACCTTGGGTGGCGATTGTAGCACCAACTCACACCTACAATAAATCAACTCCTGAAGAACTCGAGCAAAATTTATATTTACCTTTTTTCTCCGAGTACAGTTGTATGCTATTAGTTGTCATAATTACCATCTTATTACTCAAATGGAATTCTGATTTTTTTTCTATGTCTATTATAGAGGGTGTAATTCGTAATGGAAAATGTTTTGTTTTGCCTAGCAATTCTTTTTTTGAAGGGAAATTTTGCTACCGGAGATGCCAAGTGACCCCTCTTTGCTAGCGGGCATGCAAAATTTGACGATTTCTTTAGTGGACACTGTTTCCTTACAAATTTCTTTGGTGGACACGGACGAATAAAATATTCATTTCCGGGCTTTCGAGGAGAGAAGCACGGAAATGTCCTTCGCCTGGCGGTTTCTTCTACCTTGGTCTCCTTCCTCTGCGCGACGCTGTCCTCGTCAATGAGCCGCTGGCCACTTACTTGTTGTTCGCCGGAGGAGGCTTCCGGCCATGATGGCGCACACATGCCGCAGGCAGAGCCGAGCTGCTTTGCTGCCCGGGCGAGAGCCATGACGAAACCACTGGCTTCAGTAGCTGCGCCACGAGGTCGCGGCCGGCTGCTCACAAGTGCTACGGCGAGGCCAAGCGGGCGGCAGTTGCGCGCAGCGCTGCCTTGGGCATGTCAAGGCAGCTTGCAGCCGCTGCGCCGGCGAGGCCTTGTGCAGAAGCCGCTGCCGCGACGCCCCGGCGAGGCCATGGCGGGCGCTATTTGCCGCGCGGCGTGCCACGAGGCCGCGCGGACCGGTCGCTCAGCAGCCGGCGAGGCCGCGGGCGGAGCGGGTTGTTAGCGCCCACGAGGCCGTGGCGGGCGAGTGCTCGCATGCGCTCCTCAGCGAGGTCGCTGGAGTTCGCTGCCGCGGCTTCCGACGAGGCCATGGCGGGAGCTGGGCTGCTTGCATACAAGCGCCCATGAGGTCAGTAGCTGAGGCGGAGCTATTGCTCAGCATGCTTGCGCATGAGGTCGCTGAGCTGCTGCTCTCAGCAAGGCTCCGGCGAGGCCATGGCGGAGCGGTTGCTCACATGTAGGCCATGAGGACTTCTGGGAGCTACTGCTATGGCGTGCCGCCAGGCATGGCCGACGACGGACCGGGTCGCGCGCAGCCGGGCGAGAGGCCGTGGGAGCGGTCGCCGCTCGCGGCGCCCGTGAGGCCACGGCATGAGCTGCTTGGAGGTGGTCCCGTGACCCACAGCTGGCGGCTCTGGCTGAAGGGTGGCCTGCGTCACGCGCCAGAGGAAGGAGACCAAGGTAGAAGAAACAGCCAGGGGCAGAAAGGACATTTCCCGTGCTTCTCTCGCCTCGAAAGCCCGAAAATGAATATTTCATTCGGTCCGGTGTCCACCAGCAAATTTGTAAGGAACCAGAGTGTCCACCAGCAAATCGTCAAATTTTGCATGCCCGCTAGCAAAGATGGGTCACTTGACATGTCCGGTAGCAAAAATTTCCCTTTTTTGAATGACCCAACAATTCTTGTCTTGTACTAAAAATGCAGATCTTTTTTTAATATGTCTAATCTGGTTCACTTCATTTGTTTAATATATTGTACCCTGAATGAATATACAGCCTATATGCACAAGACGTAATATTTAGTTGGCGCTGTTTGATCTCCGGAGGTAGCAAAATGCAAGCAACGTACTAACCATGGATAGTTTTTGCTTAGGACCAGTTAACGTTGTAAAATTTTGTTGGCGCTGTTTGATCTCCGGACTACAAGCTCTATGGACATTTATATCCCCATCAGATAGATTTGGCCGTCTGGGGACTAGAGTTTAAGCTAGACTAAAGTTTAGTGTACTATCACTCTTCATGTTTAATTAAATGTACTAGCATTTTTCTTTATCTACTACTCGATCTATCCCAAATTGTAAGACGTTTGACTTTTTTGACACCAAGTTTGACCACTCGTCTTATTAAAAAATTTATGTAAAATATCACTTCTTTCGTCGTGGTTTGGTTTATTAATAAAAATTATTCAAGAATGACTTAAATTTGACTATATTTGCACAAATTTTCGAATAAGACAAGTGGTCAAACTTAAGGTCAAAAAAGTTAAACGCCTTACAATTTGGGATGGAGGGAGTAGTTGTTAGCCCAAGTGTTCAGTAGTATTATATATAAAAGACGACTATAGGTCGTAGAAGACACACCAAGGCAAACTGAACAGGAGGGGTTGCCAGCATATCCATCCCTTGCTCTACTGATACTCATACACCACCACTGACGACCACACCACGACGAGGAAGAGGTGTTCTTGTCTTCGCTTCATGTATGTGATAACGATGATCCTGGCTGTCATCGTCTCTTCTTGTTACGTCATCGTCGACTGCTCGGAGTCCAAGGTATGTGTTGTGTATGTACGTATGGCATGTCTAATTAGGAGTAGTACTTACTGTAATTTCATTGAGAATCTCTGTTGTTGAATGTTGATGATGGAGACCATGCATATATGCGCACCATGCAGGTGCTCAGCCAGACGGAGGGCATGATGGAGGGCGCCGCCGGCACCTCGAGGAGGCACTGTGCACCACATGTGCCCCGACCTTGAGCCCGAGTGCAGACACCCCGGTGCTCCCCCGCCGCCGCCAGTTGCACCGCCCCACCGGAAGATCGGGCGGAGCTGGTAAGATAGGAACGCCGTCAGTGATTAGCGATGTGATGACCCGGCCCCTTTTCATCACCTTGTGCTATCACCTATCAGCCTAGTACGATGAATGCTGCTGTTAATCCAATACCCCTTTCGGCTTTGCCTAAGAGGCTAGGACGCACCTTGTTTTTTAGTATAAGCTTAATTGCCGTTCTTCAGTCTTTCCCACCTTCTTTCTTTCAGATGATGAGATCGTCGTCTTGGGTTCTGTCAATGTTCTGATTTTGTGAAGCCCAGCTTTTGTGATGATGCAATGTGGTGAACCGTGATACGTGAACATGCCCAAAGCCGAACAAAAACAAAGAGACAAGATGAGGAACAAAACCAAAAGGAGGTTGCTGTTGTTTCATGTTCACAAATGTTACAGTCGCCCACATTGACAGGCCGATATCGTCGGCCCAAGCTCAAGTTTTCCATGGATGGGCCGGGACCGGGATACTGCTTGTTCCAAACACTGTGCGTTGAAAATGTTCCAATCGAACAGGGACTTCCTCCTCCTCCAAGGCGACGGCCCATCGCCTTCGCCTTCCCTCCACGCCATCGCGCTGCTTAGGGCTCGTTCGTTTGAGGCTAATCCTAGCAGGAATTAATCCTGGTAAGAGTTAGCTATATAATTTAGTGAAGCGCTCCTGGCAGGATTGGTTCCGGGGGTTGATTCCCTGGGAACCGAATGCGGCCTTAACCGTCATGCTGCCGGTCGTCGTCGCCGTGGTTGCAACTGCTTGCTCTCACGCTGTTTTTTCACACGGTTTTCTACAAGAAAGAAGAAAGTGACAGGCGGTGCTGTGTAGCTGCACATTTTCCCCCTCGGGCACTGAAGCTCGTCGTCGCCGGTCAGACGTCAGGTCAACCATTCGGCCATTCAACACTCAGCGAAAAGAAAAGCTATGGCACGCGTCATGAATCTTCTTGTAACGAAACTCTGCAGACGCACGACCCGCCCGTTGAGCTTGGACTTGGTTGCACACACCTGCTAGGCTGCTAGCAAGCTGTGGGGTGTGGGCCCTGAAAACTCGCTGCTCTGCCCGGCTGCGACTGCGACTGCGACTGCGAGCTAATATATAAAGGTCCTGTTCCGGTCGTCGTATGTGTACTTTTGCCGAATGTGTGCTTGTTTTTTTTTACCGAAATATTATTTTTCTCACACAACAAATCAGCCGAAACAGTGTTTCGGTTTATTTTTTCAGCGAAACGAACGGGGCCAGAGAGGCAAGATTCTCACAAAATTAATGGATGCATCCATAGGGCTCGACAAAAAACTCGTTGAGCTGGCTCGGTGGCTCGGTACAAAAGTGCTTGGACTCGTTTTTTCTTTTAAAATGAAAATAAGTTGATTGGGAATGACTTTCGACCTTGACTCGGCTCGTTAGGCTCGGCTCGTTAAACTCAGCATGAAGTTGGGTCTCAAACAATTCAGGAGACTATGATAAATAACATTATGCCAGTTTCTAAAAAAAGCTCAAAAAAACTGTAGTCGGCTCGATATCCATCCACGACCACGAGCTTACTATATTACATTTGTTAAGTTGCGAGCGAGTTGAGAGACACATCGACAGAAATGAAGAAAGCGCCATCTCTGGCCGCGTGCTCGCTGATCTTCGCAGATGCACAAGACGTAATAAGCTGACACATGGTCTATCACCCTCTGCAAGGTTTTTTTAATCGAAACAATCCTCTGCAAGTTGCCCAGGCACCGGTACATGGATGTAAGCTTGCGTGAGGTGACATCGTGACAGGAAATACTAATCGTTGAACGCGCTCACGACTGACCGCTGACGGCTTCAACTTCAACACCGAACGCGTGAGCGACGACGTTGAGTCCGATCCGTTGATGGACCGATTCTGCACACTGTAACTGATGCTGCTATTAGGACTACTACGACTGTCTAAGGGCGCGTTTAGATGCAAAAATTTTAGGAGTTTGGCTACTGTAGCATTTTCGTTTGTATTTGGTAATTAGTGTCTAATTATGAACTAATTAGGTTCGAAAGTTTCGTCTCGCGATTTCTCACCCAACTATGCAATTAGTTTTTTTTCATCTACATTTAGTACTCCATGCAAGATTCGATGTGATGGATATTACACAAAATTTTTTAGAAACTAAACATGCCCTAATAATACTACTATAATAACAACCCACGGGCAGTCGAACTGACACAACGACCGTTTCCACCATGATGCATCGCCCAGCTGCCATGTCCGTGTTTCTCCTCATCACCTCCTGCTTCTTATTGCTCTTCCTCCCCATCCACGCGCAGCACCAGACCCAGCCAGCAGCCGCCGCTGGTGGCAACACTGCGGGTGCGAGCTGCTTGCCGCACGAGAGGGACGCCCTGCTGGCTTTCAAGCATGGTGTCACCAGCGATCCTGAAGGCCTCCTCGACTCGTGGCGGCGAGACGGCGGCGGCCACAGCGCCGAGCAGGACTGCTGCCGGTGGAGAGGCATCCGGTGCAGCAACCGGACTGGACTCGTGCGCGAGCTTCGACTTGGCAGCACCGTGTCCAGCAAAGCTTTGGTTGGCCAGATAAGCCCTTCTTTACTTGCTCTAGAACATCTGGAACACCTTGATCTCAGCCATAACGAGCTTGAGGGGCCAACTGGGCGTATTCCCGAGTTCATGGGCTCTCTAAAGAGTCTCAAGTATCTTGACCTCGCCGCCATACAATTTTCCGGCAAGGTGCCTCCACAACTTGGCAACTTATCAAAGCTGCAGTATCTGGACCTTTCCTCTATGGGAGGCCGCCTAAAGGCAACAGACCTCTCATGGTTAACACGCCTTCCTTCCATACAACATCTTAGCCTCAACAATGTGAACCTTAGCACAGTAATGGATTGGCCTCATGTCATGAACATGATTCCTTCTTTGAGGGCCCTATATCTTTCGGGCTGCTCTCTTGCTAGCGCAAACCAGTTGCTACCACGCCTGAACCTCACAAACCTTGAGGAGCTGGATGCCTCCAGTAACTCCTTCGACCATCCAATGTCGGCCAGCTGGTTCTGGAACATAACAAGCCTCAAGTACCTTGACCTCAGATCAAATAGATTGTATGGGCAAATTCCACACAAACTGGGAGACATGACATCCCTTCAAGTCCTTGATCTTTCGTTTAATGGAGATGGTGACAAGAACATGGGCGTCATGACCACGGACCTTAAGAATCTATGCAGTTTGGAGGTCCTGAATATTCGCTCGGCTCTCTTATACGGAGACATAACTGAGATGTTTAAGAATTTGTCTCATTGCTCGCCGAACGAACTGAAGGAACTAGACCTTGGTTTTAACCAATTAACTGGGACGCTAGCAAAATGGATAGGGCAGTTAACGAGCTTGGTTAATCTTGATCTCAGTTGGAACAACATCACAGGACCTCTCCCAGCGTCTGTTGGTCGATTCACTGATTTGAAGCTCCTTGACCTCTCTTACAATCACCTGACTGGAAATGTCCCACATGAGATTGGTGTGCTCACTAATCTGACCGGACTGTACCTAAACAATAACGACTTGGATGGGGTGATAACAAAGGAACACTTTGCTAATGCAACAAGCTTGACAGACATAGACTTGTCTTATAATGCCCTGAATATTGAGCTCAGCTCGGAGTGGCAACCACCATCTCGATTAAGCACTGCACACTTTGCAGCCTGTCAGATGGGCCCACTATTTCCTGGGTGGCTTCGATGGCAAGTAAGCGTTACTGATCTAGATATCTCGAGTGCAGGCATAGCTGATAAGCTTCCAGAATGGTTCTCCGATGCCTTTTCAAATGTTGAACGCTTGAACATCTCCAACAATCAGCTCATCGGAGGCTTGCCGGCCAGCTTGAGCTCCATGTCCCTTTCTGAACTCTACTTAAGTTCCAGCCAATTAACTGGTCAGATACCTGCACTACCACCAAACATAAGCATCTTGGACTTGTCCAATAACTCCTTGTCGGGACCTTTGCCCTCTGGTAGTGGAACTATGAATGCAATTGAGTTGTCATTGTTCTCTAACAAATTAATTGGTCAAATTCCTGAATCTTTCTGTAAATATGAAGGGTTGGCTGTGTTGGACTTATCCAATAATTTTTTGGAGGGAGAACTTCCGCCATGCCTCAGTGCTATGGAAGATATGGAATTTATAGCCTTAAGTAACAACAATTTGTCAGGAAAGTTCCCATCTTTTCTGGAAAACTTTAGAAGTGTGCTATTCTTAGATTTGGCCAGGAACAAATTCACAGGAAGTTTGCCGGTGTGGATTGGAAACTTAGTATCATTAAGAATTCTACGGTTAAGTCATAACAAGTTCTTTGGGAGCATTCCGATGAACATCACAAATCTTGCTTGCCTTCAATACATGGATCTAAGTAACAATGAGATATCAGGCTCTTTGCCGAGCTACCTGTCAAATCTGAAAGCAATGAGAAAGACAAACATGACAGGAATGTGCTACGTCGATGATATAGAAAACTTCCATCTCATTAGTTTGTCTGCAGTCTTGAAGGGGCAGGAACGGAACTATGGTTCCATTAGTAGAGTTTTTGACACAAACATGATGAGCATTGATTTATCTTCAAACAATTTAACCGGCAAAATTCCAGAAGAAATAATTACACTTAATGTGCTAGTGAATCTAAATCTGTCATGGAACCACTTCATCGGAGTTGTTCCAAACAAGATTGGGGAGATGCAATCTCTGGAATCACTCGACCTCTCAAGGAACAACATCTCAGGGGAAATACCAGCCACTCTGTCAAATCTAACGTTCTTAAGTTACTTGGACTTGTCGTACAACAATCTTACAGGAAGAATTCCATCGGGGACACAACTAGATAGCTTGTATGCAGCAAATCCATTTATGTACATCGGCAACATTGGACTTTGTGGGCATCCTCTCCAAAACAATTGCTCGAGGGAAGGTGATGCATCAAAGCAAGGTCACCTAGGAAGAACAAAAGGTCACGGGATACAATTCTTTTATCTTGGACTTGGGTGTGGCTTCGTAGTTGGTACCTGGATGGCATTTGGTGTTCTGTTCTTCAAGCAAAGCTGGAGAATTGCTTTCTTTCAACTCCAAGACAAGCTGTACGACAAAGTATATGTCCTTATTGCTACATGGGTAAGGAGAACACAAACTGATTACCATGAAGCAGATGCGATTGTCGGTGCTCCTTCAAAATTTAGCCAAGGTATTCATGAATAAATGGAAGTGGAGAAGTCTGATCAGTGCTTCTACTTCTGTTACTATCATGTATTGTTGGTTTTCTTTTTCAAATTAAATGCAATATCGTTGTTGTTAGTCATACACCCATACACATTCTTCAGGTACGAGTTGTAATACAAAAATATATTTCCTTATTTTGAGTCAGGGAATGGTATCTATTTTCTTAAGGGGCTACCCGAGCCTGGATACCAACTTGGCACAACTTAGATGTGCTTAGCAATTGGTGCCATCGCTATAAAAGTTTGGGCAATAAACCAATCTCCTAGTGGTATAGTTGCACGAGAGTGTTTGTTGTGGATGGAGGGGGTATTAGCATTCTATTATTGCGCTTCATGCTTTTCCCTACTATGTGCTTGCTCCATTTCTTACTGTAAAAGCTCGGGCGCTGCATGTATTTTATTTCTATTTAGTTTCTGTACATGGATCTAAATGACAGTGAGATGTGAGGCTCTTTGTCAAATCTAAAAAAACGATGAAAAGGACAAACATTACATGTGTGTACACTGACTTGTGAATGCGTGACCGCGGTAGCTAGATTTTTTTTTTTTGAAGAATGGTAGCTAGATTTATAGAGGCATCCTGATCGAGCATCTGCAAATGGTCCAATTGGACCACCTACCTCTATAAATCCAAAAAGTTCGCCTCTAAAAGCCCTTATTCTAGTAGTGGATATTGTCGGAAGGAAACAAATCAAAACTAATAAAATATTATATCGAATATAGGAGGATGATACCAAAAAAAAAATGATATAAGTGGCTTGCATGCTGATAGATTGACAAAATAGTTAATTGTAGTTAGTGGAGGATGATGCATTGATGTGACATGTATTTATTGGGGATGACTTTGATAGCTCGCATGTTGAGATTGAAAGCTAGTGGAGATTATTTTTGTTACGAAGCAATCCGTTCATCAAGGAGAAGAACCAATAGGATTACAGAGATCCCATCCAACCAGATTAGTGACATGGATCAACCTTAGCCTTAGATCTAAATCCAACCATCGGTGTAATCTCTCCTCAGTAATCACCGTAGTTTTTCGACGGACTACTCCATCTTCGGAACCGACATCACCGGGATCGCTACCCGTTGGGAAGCAGCGTATCCGCGTCCCGAACAGGCGTCGACAACTCCCGTGGCGCCGCTTCAACCTCAGTATAAATTGTGAGATCGATCAATGGAAAAGTATGGTTCGATTCATTCTTTCTCTCGATCACTACCGCTTTTAAACACGTTATCAAGACGCTCGAGAATCGAGAGAAGTTTTAAATCGAGAAAGGTGAGATGGATCCCGAAACCTCACCGTCGATCATGACCGCCATTCTCTTGAGTTCCCCTCACCCCCGCGCGCTCTCGCTCCTCGACATCGCGACGCTGGCGGAGAGTCGCGCGCCAAGACCGTCGCGTCTTCGGGCCGTCGCCGTCGCGCTGCGGCCGCCCGCCGCCACCGCCGTCAGCTTTTCGCCAGAAGCCGCGGCAATCCGTGCCAGCGCCGCATCGCCAACAACGGCGCCCGAGCTTGAGAGCGGCGCCGGCACCACCAGCGCCGCGGTCGCGACTCCACCGCCACCACCGCTGCGGCGCCTGCAACTCCTCTTCGTCTGCCGTCGCCGACCCTGTGGTCATTCACCCGGTGGCGGACCAAGGAAGGGCGCCCATGCGCCGACGACTGCGTTCAAAAGAAGTCGGCCAGCCAAGCCACACGGCTCCAAAGAATCGTCCGGCGGCAACCTCGTGGGCTGGCTCAAAGAACTCCTCCGTCGGTGTGGGCGCGTCGCGTCCACCGCCGCCACCGACCACCGAACCCGAGGAGTACAGCCCGGCCTCCGCCTGCCTCGGATCTGCGACCTTCCAGAGGTTTCTCCAATGGAGTCCTCCCCAACCGCCTCAATGGCGAGGTGGCCCCTCCCGCGAGGGGGCTACTCGCCCAACTAAGCGACAAGCGGGACCGGAAGGAGGCGGAGGCAAGCAATGGCGCATTTACGGAACGAGCGAAAGCGGCGAGTCGGAGTGGCTGGATGAGTTCTCAACCTTATCCCCGCTAATAATTTATTTGCGTCGTCCTACCCTCACGTGTCGTACAGAAAATGTCGACATTGTGTGCTCATCCTAATAAAGCTGCCTCTTGCTTGTGGCCGCCTCCGCATGTGACTTGTTTAGTAGTATATTCTAATTTGTGATCTGTGACTATGTTTAGTACTAGTGACTACAGTTAGTACTATCGCAGCCATTCACTTCAAATCCTTCGGGGTTTATCATGTAATTTAGCGCCGCACATTGTGTCGAGGACTCGGTTAAATGTTCAAAGTATTTGTTCGTGTGACAAATCCAATAGCATTTGTTCCTGTTACTATTTTATTGCAATTATTTATATTTGTATTTTTTGCAATACGACACAATTTTTAAGTCTACTTTAACTATGCAAAAGTTGAATACTTAAATAAATGTCACAATCACTTCACGTGTACCTTAAAGAAATAATATTGATATTTTAAATTTATTTGCCTTTGCAAATAAATAATTAATTTTATATGGTCTATATATTATGTCATCACATAATCATTACCTATAAAATGTTTCCAATATTTAAATTTCACATTAAATAAATCATTCTTGATTCAAATTTAATGTGCCATTTTACTTGTTCACATTTAAGTTTTAAATTTTTACTTAAATATATTTTACATATATCTTACAACACATCAATTGCCTTACATTAAAACATTTATACAAATGTAGGCAAAATGTCGAAGTTGTTGGCAAATTAAAAGACAAAGAATTTGACCAACTCGCACTTGATGGACATAATTTTCCAACATGGTCAATGGATCTCAAAGTTAGCCTCTCTCTTTACGGGGATTTTATCATGCCATTCTTCCACCAAAAGAGGGTACTTCTTTTTTTGATGACAAAACTAAATATAGTGCCTTATACATCATAAGGGCTCATATACATCCAGACCTCAAGTCTGAATATTTGATGGAAGAAGATCCACGCACTTTGTGGAATGCTCTCAAACAACGCTATGAACAAGCAAAAAGGCAATTGTCTTACACGAAGCTTTGCATGAATGGAACCATCTCCGCTCTCTCTGAGATTTTAAGACTGTTGGAGAATACAATCATGCAATTCACAAACTTTGTGCAAAACTCAAATTTTGTGAGAAAGAGCCTTCGATGCGGACAAAATAGAGAAGACTTTGTCTACTATGATGCTCGCAGATAGAATCCTTCACCAACAATACCGTGGAGCGAAATTTCCAAGTTTATTCGAGTTAATTAATACTCTACTTCAGGCCGAACGGCATAATGAGATCCTTCTTTGGAACTCAAATAAACGCCCATTGGGTGCTGCCCCATTACCTGAAGTACACACAACCACTCAGAACACAAACAAACAGGATGGTGCCAACAGGAAACCATTCAGGAAATTCAAAAACAAAGGTAAAGGTAAAGGACAAGGTAACAATAACAAGCGCAAAAGAGAGCAAAAACCGCATGATTTTAACAAGGGTAAGGACATTCCTAAAAAGAATTTTGACAAATCCCAACTTTGTCAAAAATGTGGTTGTTACAGCCACATCACTAAGAAATGTCGTACCCCCGTCACTTGGTTGACTTGTACTTAAAGTCCGTTGGTCGTGATCGCCCAAATCAAGGACGCAAGTACGAAGCTCATTTCAACTTCCAGAATGATGTTACGATGCAAGATGTTGCTCCGTACAACTTCACTAATGACATTAACATGGCAGAAGCTAGTTGCTCCAAAAGTGTCCCCAATACACTGAGCAACCACAAGACTCCACCACCTGCGGAAGACGACTTAATGGACACGGACAAGATGCTTGTAGAGTTTGCCTCTACTGACATGTTTGGAGATCTCAATTAGACTCCCATGGTCCCTAATTAGTACTATGTACTCATTATGTCCCGACAAAGTGTTGTAAATTATTGCTAAATATAGCAGTCTTGTAAATATTTGTGGCTTGTATGCTATATCCTATATATAGCACATATATGTACCAAGCACAATCGAAAATCAATAAATTATGTATAATTATATATATATGTCATTCTCAGATTTCTAATTCTCTTTCATATATCAAGATTTCTACGGGACAAATCCAATGGAGGAGGAAATGTGCCTTGTAGATAGTGGTACTACAAATTCTATACTAAGGAACACCAAATATTTCCTAACTCTAACTAAGAGACAAGGAAATGTCATAACAATCGCTGGACGCGATGCGACGATAGTAGGCTCTGGTTGCGCTACTATTACGCTCCCCATGGGTACTCAAATAACAATTGAGGATGCATTATTGTATCCCGATTCAACTCGTACCTTACTTAGCTATAGAGATATCCGTAAAAACGGATTTCACGTGGAAACACATGAAGAACATAAAGAGGAATTTCTCCTCTTAATTAAAGATACCGAACATGGCAAACAACTTCTTGAGAAAATTCCTCTTTACCATCTGGAATATATTATACATACATCGGACTGCGTACACATGTTGCCTATAAAATAATTTTTCAGAATGTTAATGCATTCCAAACTTGGCATGATCGCCTTGGTCACCCTGGCATAGGGATGATGCGAAAAATTATAAACAATTCCCATGGTCACAACTTAGCTAATTCTAAGTTCCCAGAATCTTCTGATTTTACATGCACCGCATGTGCAACTGGGAAATTGATTTTAAGACCATCTTATCTTAAGATCAAAGCTGAACCACTTAAATTTCTTGAAAGAATTCAAGGAGATATTTGTGGTCCTATTACTCCATCATCTGGGTCATTCAAATATTTCATGGTTCTAATAGATGCATCTACACGATGGAATCACGTGTGCTTATTATCCACACGCAACCATGCTTTTGCCAAAATAATAGCTCAAGTTATTAGACTTAGAGCAAATCATCCTGAACATCAGATAAAATCTATTAGAATGGACAATGCTGCTGAATTTTCCTCAAAAGCTTTCAATGACTATTGCATGGCTCTAGGAATTCAAATTCAGCACTCAGTTCCATATGTCCATACTCAAAACGGTTTAGCAGAAGCTCTTATCAAAAGAGTTAAGCTAATAGCAAGACCACTATTGCAGAATTGTAATCTACCGACTTCATGTTGGGGTCATGCAGTCTTACACGCTGCTGACTTACTACAATTGCGACCAACTGCATATCATACTGCTTCCCCACTACAATTAGTACGTGGAAATCCACCGAGTATTTCCCATCTGCGGAAATACGGTTGCGCTGTATATGTACCGATTTCACCACCAAAGCGTACATCTATGGGTCCACACAGGAAATTAGGGATCTATGTCGGGTATCAATCTCCGTCGATCATTAAATACCTGGAGCCCCTTACAGGGGACCTATTCACGGCCCGATACGCTGACTGTATCTTCAATGAGGATCATTTCCCGGCATTAGGGAGAGATTACAAGTACCAAAATCAATGCCCGGAAATAAATTGGTACTTGCACAAGACATCTCCACTCATGATCCACGTACACAAGAATCTGAACTTCAAGTTCAGAAAATCATAAATTTGCAAAACATAGCAAATAATCCGCCAGACGCATTTATCGATTATAAAGGTGTCACTAAATCCTATCATCCCGCTAGGAATGTGCACGAAAGAATAGAGGTACCAAATAAAACTATTCAACTCCCACCTTCGAAACCGGTTCTAGGTAAGAGGGGGAGAAGTAAGGCTATCAATCAGGATGTGGCTCCTAAACGCCAAAGGAAACAGGATAACAAAAATTCTAAATCAGTAAATGTGACACAACAACAAGTTGTGAGACACCAAGTGAATAAACAAAATTCACATCCCACATCAACAGTGCACTCAATACCTGATGTTGGGACATCGGAACACCCTGACGCTATCGTATTGGGAAATAACGAACCGTCACGAGGGGTACAAGAAATTTCCATAAACTACATTGATTCTGGAGAATCATATGACCGAAAGACTACAATTGTCGACATATACTTTGCCAAAACAATTGCCGAAATTATCCAAACTGATCCAGATCCCAAGACCATGGCAGAGTGCAAAAAGCGCTCGGACTGGAACAAATGGAAAGAAGCAATTCAAGCAGAGTTAGCCTCGCTCACAAAAAGAAAGGTATTCTCATCAGCAATACCTACACCTTCACAAATCTTCCCTGTGGGATTTAAATGGGTTTTCGTCCGAAAACGGAATGAAAATAATGAGGTGGTGAGATACAAAGCGAGACTTGTAGCACAAGGGTTCACGCAGAGACCTGGCATTGATTTCAATGAAACATACTCTCCAGTTATGAGTGGAATAACTTTCCGATATTTAATAGCATTGGCAGTTCAAAATCATCTATCTATGCAGTTGATGGATGTAGTGACAGCATATTTATATGGGTCACTTGATTCGGACATTTACATGAAGGTTCCCGATGGAATTCCTATTCCGAATCCTAAAGCAAGTCGCGCCACATATTGTGTGAAACTTAATAAGTCACTATATGGCTTAAAACAGTCAGGACGGATGTGGTACAACCGACTGAGTGAATTCCTATTACAAAAGGGATACACCAATAACAATGATTGCCCATGTGTCTTCATAAAGAAATCCCAAACAGGGTTCTGTATTATATCCGTATATGTGGATGATTTAAATATCATTGGCAACCCACATGATATCAATGAAGCACGCAATCTCTTAAAGACGGAATTTGAGATGAAGGATTTAGGTCAAACTAAATTTTGCTTGGGTTTACAAATCGAGCACCTTCACTCAGGAATATTAGTGCATCAATCTGCCTATATCCAGAAAACACTAGAGAAATTTAATATGCATAAATCATATCCATCCAAAACTCCCATGGTTATTCGGACTCTAGACATGGAGAAAGATCCATTTAGACCAAAGAACGAAGATGAAGAGGTACTGGGGCCCGAGGTCCCATATCTCAGTGTCATTGGAGCACTAATGTATCTTGCAAATCAAACTAGACCTGACATTGCATTTGCAGTAAATTTACTGGCTAGATATAGTGCTACTCCAACTAAACGTCATTGGACGGGAGCCAAACAAATCTTGCGATATCTCAATGGCACCAAAGATCTTGGATTATTTTTCCAAAGAAACCAAGATCCAACTGTAATTGGATACACTGATGCTGGCTATTTATCTGATCCCTATAATGGCCTATCCCAGACAGGCTTTGTATTCCTATATGGAGGAACAGCTATATCATGGAAGTCATCTAAACAGACTTTAGTAACAACTTCCACAAATCATTGTGAAATTGTTGCACTATATGAAGCATCACGGGAGTGTGTATGGCTCCGCAGAATGATTAATCACATACAGCAATCTAGTGGGATTGGTCCCATTGAATCACCCACAATTATCTATGAAGATAATGCTGCTTGTATTACACAAATGGAAACAGGTTATATCAAAAGCAATATAACTAAACATATTTCTCCCAAATTATTTTATCCTCATGAATTACAAAAGAATGGAGAAATAAAAATCTTGCAAACAAAGTCTTGTGATAATCTTGCAGATTTATTCACTAAGTCATTACCAGGTCCCATGTTCCAAAATTTTGTTCATAGTATTGGTATGCGACGACTTAAAGACTTGCAAGTTTCAGGGGGGAGATAATCTCTGAAAATAATCATTTGTGTTAAATATTATATTGCACTCTTTTCCTATTATGAGTTTTTACAAAAACTTTCTCATAAAAGGTTTTTAATGAGGCAATATCTAATATATAATATGTCATATTTCCTATTTTCCTCACAAGAGGTTTTTAAGGGGAATATCAAAGGCATTTTCTTCCTCATATTTTCCACGTGGTTTTGGAGGAGGACATGGCCCATAGACCATTATATTGTTCTAAACTAAATTATGGATTTTTCCTATAAAGTTTTTTCCGTATAAGTTTACAATGGACAATAATCTAAAAATATGTCATATCATTTCTCCTGATTTTTCCCCCACTGGGTTTTTGAGGAGTTTAATGACATATCAACAATATAGCACCTCATATTTTTCCTACAAGGTTTTTAGAGGCCCTGAAGATATTATTTGATCTCAAGACTGGATGCGATCAGGGGGAGTGTTACGAAGCAATCCGTTCATCAAGGAGAAGAACCAATAGGATTACAGAGATCCCATCCAACCAGATTAGTGACATGGATCAACCTTAGCCTTAGATCTAAATCCAACCATCGATTGTAATCTCTCCCGTAATCTTTGTAGTTTAAATGACGGACTACTCTATCTTTCGGAACCGACATCACCGGGATCGCTACCCGTTGGGAAGCAGCAGTATCCGCGTCCCTAAGCAGGCGCGCCCGACAACTCCCGTGGCGTCGCTTCAACCTGTATAAATTGTGAGATCGATCAATGGAAAAGTATGGTTCGATTCATTCTTTCTCTCGATCACTACTGCTTTTAAACAATTTTTATAAGATATTAGCAAATATGTTCGTGCGTTACAACAAAATGTATAACTTGTTGTGTCATTGTGTGGTTACCTGGACGCGTCATCTGTTTTAGTAAGTCTTTGAATCCAACTACTTAAAAAAATAAAAATAAAAAGCTTCCAAACACCTACTTAAAAATAAGCGTAAGCCTATTTGGAACCCGTGTAAAATACAAGCCCATAAACTTTTACATGCCAAATTTCAAATAGTGTTTGGAAGCCTGGTGAGCCTAAAAAAAAGGCTGTTTTGGGCCATTACAGCCAAAAAAATAAAAATGCCTGAGCAGACTACACATTTTTTTCCCGACAAATATCGGGCCTCCTCGGTCTGTCTGTCTCTCACTAGTCTCTCACCCAATGCCTGATCTTCCCGAGGCTCTCAAGATCTCATCTCATGGCGGAGCGGCGACGTCGAGGGCTCGATCGGCCCCTGCATCTCGGCCAACCTCCTCTGCCTCCGAGACTGCGCTTGCAACTTCAGCGACCGTCGACGCGGAGAACACTGTCTATGGCCTCGTCGCATGCCTTGCAGACGCCGAGACGTCGGAGTGCGCCGCTTGCCTCGGCGTCGCGTCAGTGAAGCTGCCTGGGACGAGGTGCGCGAGCCGCAGGGACGTGGTTCTCAGGGCGCGCGCACTTCCTGGTGCACTTCGAACGACAACGCCGCCTCCTTCGGCATAGTGGAGATGTCCCCGGCGCGCCGATTCGATTTGCCCAGCACAAGGCCTCTGGATAGTCGAATGCTCACCGCGGCAGCGAAGTTGCCTGGCATCACTGTCTCGCTTGGCATATGCTGCGCGGACATGGCCGGCGTCAAGCTCAACGGCCAGCTGCTATCTGTCCGTGTTCATGGTCTGGCAAAACGCCGCCCGTGTTGCTGCTGATCAACCTCATGAGTCATGACGAGTCCATGGAGCTCCACTGCTCCAGTGGCCAACGCCGGCTGAACGGGGCCAAGAGGTATGTAGGAGCTCAGCTTTGCTCATTCGAATTATGTTCAGATCAAATTGGGCACAAGAGACGAACAAATACTGTCTCATTTGTTGTGCGTGTACTACTTGCATTTGGATTTTGATTTCACAATCCCTTCTCGCAAAGTAGAGACTTGGCTACTGCGTCTCCATTCTTTTTTTTCAGGGTTGAGAAATAATTCATATGAACCAAACACAATTTTCCAAGGGAAAAGATTTACAAGAGGTTTGTTGTGCACATGAAAATACAATCGGAACTCATTTCCAGGTGAAAAGAATCACAAGGCTTCCAAACATGCCCCACTCGAAACACCGACTTTAAAAATAAACCCAAGCCATTCCAAACAGGTCTATTGATAAACTGATTACCATTTAATGATATAACGGAAATTGAGACTCTGTCATATCGAGAAAGGCATTTGTATCGTACGTAACAGTGTCATTATCGAGAAAACAAACGTACGGTACGTTCAAAAAAAATGCATATGGGCCTCCAAGTGCCTCGAACCTGTAACAGTATAACTCTCCGGCTCTACACAACCATGTATGAACTATCTCGCTAATATGGACTAACTCATCTATGTGCCTCGAACGTACACCAGTATAACTATCCCATTGCGCCAGAGAAGCCAATGCTGAAATGGTATGGTTTCCAACTAATCTACAAAACTATATGCGTGTTAATGCACACAATAACATTAATCCACTAATCTAGTTTCCTAGTTTTCCTCCAAGACCATCGAACTCAAAATTCTCAGAAGAAACGGCTGCGGCAGCGTCAGACTAGCACTGCTTTCCTAGGTGAATCCTTCGTCCTCATTTCATCCCACGACGGCCAAGAGCATCCTTCAGTTGGCATTTTGTAGAGCATAAGATTCTCAGTAGAAACAGATGCCAAGGTGGACTTAGACTGGCACCACTGCGTCTCACAAACTCCAGACGCAGACGTAGACCAACAACTCGGTTCCTGAAAATAAAAAAGATACAGGAAGAACCATTAATGCATAATAACAAAATTATGGATATATTATTGATAATTTTGATTTTTTTATGTATATACCCATTTCTTATCCAGCTTCCAGCAATCGCTTGCCCCATCAACATCTGTGGTAATAATCTGACCGCATGGAGACCACGAAAATGAGGCCACACCTATAAATCAAGTCACATAATTAAGAATAATATTTAGTACAAGAAAGATTGGGCTTTAATAAGTGCAATGATAGATAAATTGGGCTTTTGCCATCAGTGGATCCAGTCATTAAATTCGATACAACGGTGAAATATCAGATTAAACTAAAGAAGATATTTGTGCAAAAGGCTTTCTCAGCGCTGCTCTATAACGCTGAGAGGTGTGCCAAAAATACTCTTTTGTCTCGCCTATTTTTCACAGATGAGATGAAAGCAAGGTCCTTGGAGTCTGGTAATTTGAACTGCAACTATACGAAGACAGTTCTGGTAAGCTCATTAACACTGAAAAGTCATCGATAATGTTCACTCCTAACACGGCAGAAGAGGACAGACAAGTAACGGAAGTGCTTGGGATCGCTAAAATGTTAGAAATGAGAAATATCTTGGCCTACAAATTGCTGAGACAGGAATCAATTATCAACAAAGGAAGAAACGGTGATTCTAGCAGTGTTCCTAGAATCAGCATGTCCGGCTCAGGAGACAGGCACTGGCTAAACATACGACAGCCTCCTTGTCCTAGGAGGGTGAAAATGTTTTATGGCGATAAGCATACAGATAGATGATAAAAGCTGTTGCCTATGTAGCCATCTGGATGAGGGTGGTGCTCATCTATTTCTTAAGTGCAAGAAAGCTAAGGAGTACTGGAGAGCACTGGAGTCGGGAGGGAAGAACCCCTATGCCTGCATGCTTGACAGAAAAGAAGTAATGACTATCATGTGGTCAATGCCACTAGACAAACACCTTCTTGTCGCCCTATGGTGATCGTGGGAGCATAGAAAGAGGTGCGGGAAGATGAATGTGCACTATCCAGTGACAGCTAGTATACCCAGTGCAATGTTACACGATGGAATGCCTGCACCTATTCAAAGAAGCAGAAGTGGGGTGGTTATCAGTTTATCACCCAACCACAACTGGCTAAAATCTATAGTTGATGGATCTTATAATGCAGGTGATGGCCACAGAGGGTAGGGTGTAATCATCAGGATATAAGGGGATGCATGATGACTGTTCAGCAACAACAGTATTCCTCCATGAAGCGAAGGCCTTGATTGCTAATGGCTTCCGCAAATGTACTGTTAGATACTCGGGGTGTGAGTGTAACCTGGCAGCATGTACTTGCGAAACAGGGGTCTCAGGTACGGGACCAGTGTGTGTACTGTTGGGAGTATTGTTGTACCAACTTGTATAGCTGGCATTGTAATGGATGAGAAAGACCAGTATAAAGTCCCAGTTTTTAACAAGACAAAAAAAGTAGAAGGCAGCACAAATGTGATATTATACCTTTTCCAGTTCCAAATTCAAACAACAGCTTGATTTTCTGATCAAAATCCTAGTTGGTACCTTTGAACTTTGGATCACTTGTAAAGTACATCAGCTTTTTACAATGTGCAAACTGTGATCAGTAGGATGATGGGACATTTGCGCCATCTTCTACTAAAAACTCGACCTACGGGGGTAAGACAACCTCCGGGCATTTTGTCAAGAAAGAAAACCTGCTCACGCAGGTCAAGAAAAACCCCCAACCCCTATCCCATCCATACACAGCGACACCCTAGCCAATGTGAGAACGACCACGACAAACCTTAGACTTGTGCTTTGGTGTGGGACAGACGAGGGGATTTTTTTTCTTAACCTCAAACTGAAATTCGCTCGAACCTAGGAGCTAAGGAGTGCTACTCGAGCCACCTAACCAACTCAGCTAGAGGCCCTTTGGCTCATCTTCTACTCATCACTACAGAGCACTGGTACATCATCACCATCGTCATCATCAGTGCAGCGAAGACCGCGGCAAAGGTCTCGTGCCTTTGACCAACTTCTAGAGCATGAGCTCCAGGTAAGTGCAAGCTCCAGGCGTTTTTGTTGTATAAAGTAATGGCCAAAGCATTTAAATTTTGAGATTATTGAGCTGATTCAAATGTTATCCTGAATTATTTATACTGACTTATTTTAACCACATCATACACTTTAAACGTGCCTTTTAAATTCCAATCCATATTATTTCTTCCACCCCTATAGGCTATGGGAAATTTATCCCTATACAAAATCAAGGAAAGTAGCTACATTTCAGGGAGCATTACTCAAGTTATTCTATCCAGACATGATAGTTCCAGAAGGACATAAAAAGGTTGCAAAGTCATGGGATGACTACAGGTGATCTTCTAATGGTGCAACACCATCCACTGCTGAAACTATTAAACATGAGTTCTAGGTAATTTCTTGTAAACATTATCAGTAATCCTGTAGAGAATATATATAACACTGCTGAAAGATGTAGAAATCAAACGAAAAGAAAAGAAAGCATTGTATTAGCTTCATAGTGCTTTAAGATTTAAGTGCATAAGTTCTGAACTTGCTAAACCCTCACGGAATTTCTTTGTGTACAAAATTCTGCTGTCTATCTTTGCAGCTTCGCTTCAGATGTGGACCTGATGTGAACTTAGAAGAGACTGATAGAATATAGATATAGATAGATGGCATTTGCATAGTGAAGTCGTATTTCTGTTTATGGTATGCTATTCTTTTTGGTTGAAAAGTACAGTATGACAATGCCCATGACTGAAAAATGTGGAGAAAATTGGCAAGATGAGCATCTGAACATAGATCATGCCATTGTCCATAATATTTAAGGTAGTTTTTTTTTTAATGTTCTACTTCACGCTTAAGTGGTTTTAGTGGAGCTATATGTGCTTACCTCTTGTCATATGATTTTTAGACAATACCCACTAAGACTTCGTCTTCCCTATCAAGGTCTGCCACATGGGAGTGTTTCTATGGGTGATGGTGTGACTGGTCCAAGTGATGTTGATTCTATCCAATGTTTCAAAAAAAAATGATTCCATCAAGTCTAGAAAGAGAAAGCATCAAGACTCACAAGCAATTGGTACATCAATTACGCAAAGCATGATTAGCCAAATGGAGTTAAACCCTCAGTGTTGTGCTGAAACTGAACATGTGTTATAGGTGAGTCATACACTTTTGCATGTGCAGTTGTAAAAATCTCTGCAAATGACCCTAACCGAAATTCGGTTTTGCTTGTAAGCAATTTGTGAGAAGATCAGTTTGTACTTTGATATACTAATGCATCCACAATCAAAATCTAATATGGAATTGTGTGATGGAGCTGAGCGTGTACTTCAGTTTTTTTCCTTGCCTTTTCTTAATGCCTACAATACAAATACTATGAAACCAAATAAATACTATGAAACCAATGTCTTATTTCTAAAAAAGCTCATGATAGACTATGGCATCGATCATACCAATAGACATAGATGCCCTACTGCATCCTGGCAACCCAATCCAGGTAAAGTAACTTAAACCTACCTACATGCAAATATCTGATCTTCCTAGTTGGATGTGCTTCGACTTGTATCAGGACTAGTCTGAAAATTTTTGCTTGCTTGATTGGTTTCACAGTTTATTTAGGAGTTCTTGCTAATTCCTAATCATGATGCTACATGTTCTTATTGCCATTCCCATTTTGTAAACTGAGAACTTGCTAATTTCTTTCTCGATTGAAAACTTTTCAATGCCATTCTCACCCTCAAGTATGGAAATACTTTCATGCTTATTTGTTTATTTCAGTTATCATTGATACTCAACTTGATTTTTTTTCCTCTTCTTTTGATAGGCAACCTCAAGCTCAGAAACTGGTGATTCACATGCAGCAAGATCACCTATCCACATGAATGGTGCCATTAATGACAACGAGATCTTAGCACAATTTTCTTATTGGCATAAAACTACAGACTGTCAAGTAGCTAGAGTTGTTTTATGCAACCATAGATACCTTACACTATAAAGATAGATACTACATATCACTTTGGTTGGTTGAAGCTTATTTTGATCACAATGTGATTGAAGTAATTGGAAATGTGACACTACTATCAAGATAATGGTGGGCTGGTGGCATATCAGATTTGATTACTGTTTTATGAACGCCTAATTCGAACTATCTAACGTAACTATAAAATGAGATGACAGAATAACAGCCAATGATATACTGTTGCTGTCGGCTATTGCTCTAGTAGTGCTAAGCAAATGATGACAGTTTACACACTGTCAGAGACTCAACACTGCTGTTGGTAAGCCATATTTCCCTCCTATTTTGGTCTAACGGAGTCTAATGAGTTTCTGGCAGTTCACTGACGTTATCATGCTGTTGGGAATATGTTACCAAAAGTATATAAGAACTGTCGGACACGATACTAATCCCTGTCAAGGTCATCACCAACAGAGAATTCCCCATAGTTCCAGTCAGTATACAGTTGGTGATAGCCAACAGCAATTAAAAGTGTCCGATAGTTCTATAGCTGTGAGGACAGTTTGCATAGCTTGTGAAATGAACTTACGAACATATTGGTGTCAGTGTGCGCACACACAGATGGGAAAAAGCTATGAATTGTTGATTACCTTCATAGGGAAGCTATCTTTTGATGCAGCTGCTAACATCCAAGGGTTACTTGGGTTCCAATGAACCTCACTACAGATGCACTTCCTTTTGTCATCCTGCTGATATCTGATCTTCCAAGAATTTTCTCTTAGATCCCAAATCTCTGCATCATGGAAAACATATCGGTTAAAGTTTAAACACACACATAGAAATTACAGCTGAGATAAATAGAGGGCAGAGCCCCTTACTTGGGTCTCCGATGTCACATGTACTTGCAAGAATCGCGGGAAGAAAAGGATGCCACTCCAAAAACATCATCTGCGTCTGCAATTTTTTTGATCCACGGGTAGCAAGCTAAAATAAAACAAATTAATATTGTTACAAGTGCCTACCATATTTGTACTTTTATTTATAATTTATATATCTGTTACCAACCTCGCTGGGGTAATCCACATAGTGAATGTTCAGCGTTTCACCGTATGCAGCAGAAGCCAACATGTTAGGATATTGGTTGTTGAATGCCAATCCCATCACCTGCAAGCAAAAGAACTATAAACAAAACTATCCACTGTCCAATGACTAGGAAAGCTAGAAATGAGCTGGAAAAAAAAACTCACCAGTCCAGTTAACTTGTCTGGTTTCAGAATCAACGCATTCCACATCTCATCTGTACTTGGATCAGGAAGTTTGCTAGCGATCTCCTCACTTGGAATGAATTCCCAATCTTTTGAATCACCTTTGGTATCATGTTGTAGATCTAGTTTGCTGGATCTTTGTTTAGCAACATGGTCTTTGATAAGAGGGTCCAGTTCATTTCTCATTCCAGCAGCTAATGGCTCACTGTTCCACAACAACCGCTCAGACAACTTAATCATCAAGCATACATGCAGTGTTGCTGCACTGGGACACAAAAGAATAAAAAACTACAGCATACAACATATGTTCGAAGAAACTTACATAACATCTTTAAATTCGACTGCTGGGGCTTTTTTGTCCACGACAGTTAGTGGTTTTGGCCTGTGTGGTTATTAAAAAAACAACTAAATGAACTAGCAGCATGGTTGAAACAGGGTTGTTAGAGTTTCAGGTGATTTATGTCTTGAATACTTACATTCCATTAAAATCATGCATGATGAAACTAAGGGATGCAGAGGACGAAGAGCCATCCTCTTCTGACCATGAGACTCTTCTCGCACCAGACAATTTCACCTTGGTTGTATCAACATCCGGTTCACTGCATGAACATTCATGCAGTAATTAGCACTTGGTGAGATGCAAGCGGGCTAGCCCGCAAACCAGCATATAGGCCTAATTTTACGAGTTGCCACGGGTAACCCACAAAATCAAACCTATATACGGGTTCATGGGCTAGCCCATTTGCATCCAGTCATTCCAGTCTTTCATGGAGTAAGCAAAAGTACAAAACTCTTATAGCTAAGTAGCAATTGGATAATTCTGAGTTAACAATCGGATCCTAATCATCTGCTAGAATCCATGTATCGAGGCAATCCGAACGTTTTTCTATCTCAAAATATTAGAATCCATATCCATCCAATGACAGCCGAACCTAACTGATTGGTTTGGGATCTCAGAAACATTAGGTTCATGAATTGTCAACCCAGCCCAACTGGAGCAGAGCAAACCACGAAGATTTGAAATAATGTAACATTCACCACGGAAAAAGAGATAGGCAGGGCTCTTATAGCTAAGTAGCAATCGGATAATTCTGAGTTAAGAATCGGATCCTAATCATCTGCTAGAATCCATGTATCGAGGAAATCCGAGCGTTTGTTTATCTCAAAAAAAATATTAGAATCCATATCCATCTAATGACAGCCGAACCTAACTGATTGGTTTGGGATCTCAGAAACATTAGGTTCATGAATTGTCAACCCAGCCCAACTGGAGAGATTTGAAACTGTGTAACATTCACCGCGGAAAGAGAGGAGATAGGCAGAGTTACTCACTACAGCAAACGGGAGGGGTCTCAGATACGGACTGCACCGCCGACGAGCAAGCCGAGGCGGTACTCCGAGCTGGCCTCGCCCCGAGACCACGCCAGGCGGTGGAAGGGGCCATCGCAGTCCCGAATGGAGGCCACGCGCTTCAGGGGTCTCCCGACATCTTTCTCCCCATCTACTCGCCAAAGCCTGAACACGTCGATCCACGAGCCCCCGCCGCCGGAGTTGTTGCCGCCTCGCGCAGCCGTCGCGGCCCCGCCACCGGAGTTGTTGCCGCCTCGCGCTGCCGTCGCGGCTGCGAGCAGGTGGCGCGGAGGGCACAGGGCGATAGCGGTGGGGCACAGAAGTGCTCGAGGGCCTATGATCTCCATTGTTAGGGTTTCGTGGCGGAGGCAGCTTGGGAGAGCAGCGCGCGGCGGGATTGGCAGCGGGCCGCGGACGCGGGGAATGGAGCGCGAGCGGGAGAAGGAGCTGGGGGAGGGGTTTTGGTCTTTTTTTGCGGGCGTGGGTTTTGGTTTTTTGATAAGGAAGGGGGTTGGCCCGTCGGCCAGTGGGGGTGTGAGTTGTCACCGACCCCAATGCCCGAGTTGGTTACGGAAGTGTCGGGCCCTGTTGTCAGGTTTGAACGATTTTTTTTAAAGAGATTACTCTCAATATTTATGTTTTTAAATGGGCTGGACCGTTGGAGAAGTTGGTGGCATCAGAGCAAGTATAATAAGGGGTTATAAGTGAGCTGCATCTGACGTGGAGGAGAGGCGAAGAGAAGCGGCAAGAACCAATAAATTCTATGAGACAGACAAGTTACTTATAAGCTGGTTAACTATTATACAAATTGTTTGATAGATTGGCCGTAAGTTTCCATGCAGCTAACAGACGGCTGTATTATTAGCCTCGCTCTTACAAGCTAACAGGTATAAAGATCTGAAGTTCTTTAGCGAGTCCAACACTTGCCCCCCTTGGCCATCGTCATCTTGTCAAGTCTTTCACCTTAAGACCAATCTTAATGGGATTTCATGACTTATTAAGAAAGAGAGATGATAAAAGTTTTATGAGAGCAGAGAGAATTTAATTGAGATGAAACTCTTCAGCGTTGTTTCTAAAATATGGATAGGGACGTGTTTAGAACGAATGAATTAAAAACAGAGGAATGGAACAAAACATAGGAAGTTGAGAGGAATGTAGTTGTAAAATAGAGGAATAAAAAAACATAGGAAATAAATACTGATGGGTGTTTGGAACGCAGAAATTTACAACAAACACAGGAAGTAAACTCAGATGGCTCATTAATGCTTCTTTTAGACTGTCTCCAACAGAGTTGGCAAAACACGACGCAAACGCAAAATGCGTCATCCACAGTGTTTTAGGTGAAAGAAATAGGCTCCAACAGAAGACGCAAACAGATGACCCATTTTGCGTACCAGGCGAACCAGAACGCAAATAAGTGTCGCCTCTCTCCACGACGCAAAATCCTCGGGTACGCGGACGACGACGGCGAGGCCGTGCGCTCCACTCTTCCTCCTCCTCTCCCCTTGCTGCTCCCCCTCCACGCCCCTGCGCGGGAGCGCGCCCGGAGCTGCGTGCGGCACTGACGCCGCCGCCGCCTGCGACTGCTTCCTCCACCGGCGGGCTTCCTACGTCGTCGGGGGCCTCCGCCGCCGCCGCTCGTTGGGGCCGGTTCTAGCGCCCCATGGTCGCTAGCCCCTCCTCGCGCGGGATTCGCGTCGTCCTGCGCGCCGACGCCCCTTAGCCGCCGGGGCTGGCTGATTCTTGCGCGCGCGGGGGGATTGGCGCAGGAGAGCGCGCGGCGCAATCGCCGCTACAGCCCGCGGCGGACCTCTCCTTCCGCGTCCCTCAGCTGGAAGCCACCGCCACCGTCATCACGTCATCCACCGTCGCCCCGTCGACACATCCACCGCCGGGGACAACCACGGAGGAGGTCCATCGGCCCGCAGACGACGACGACGAGGTCGTGCGCTCCTCTCTTCCTCCTCTTCTTGGTTGGTGGCGGTAGGGGCAGAGGCCACGCCGTGGGGCTGGAGGACGAGCTCGCTGTGGGGTTGGACCAGCTCGCCGCGGTGAGGCTAGGGCCGAAGCTCGCCTGCACGGTGGCGGCGGGTCCAGATCTCGCCGGGCACAGCGACGCCAGGTCCAAAGTCGCGCGGTGAGGCTGGGGCCGGATCTAGAGCTCGCGTTGTGAAGCTAGCTCGCACGGCGACAGTCGCCCCCGACCCCGCTCCTCTTCTTCCTCAACGCTGACAGCCACTCCCTTCTTCCTCAAGCTCCTCCTCGAACGACGGCGAGGCGGGCCCGCGGTGGGGAGCCTCCGGCGCGGTGAGGAGCGGCCGGCGCGGCGAGGAGCGGGCGGCGCTTGGCTGGGCGGCCTTCTGCGTTCGACTTTTGCGTCCGTTGTTGGTTGTTGGAAACGTGAAGTTTTGGGTGCACGACCTTTTCCTTGTGCGCGACCTAAACCAACAAATGCGTAATGGCGAACAAATAAGCTACTCTCTACATTCAGGAAAAATCCAATTCTAGCACAGTGTCGTGGTTTTGTATCTTAACTTCGATCAATTATAGATAAAAAAATATCAATATTTATGATATCAAATAAATATCATTAGATTAATTACGAAATGTATTTTTATAATAAATTATTTTGGAGACGTAAATGTGAATAGTATTTACTAGAAATTTGGTCAAATGTAAACTACTTTTACTGCCACGCAACACGTAGTTGCATTCTTTTCTGGACGGAGGGAGTATCTTCCAGGCGAGTAATGCAGCAGGCCACCTTGGACTTCGTGAAGAAAATCAAAACAAGAGGTGGGAGTGGATGTTTATTTTCCTTCGAAATGGTAGGCTGGCAACAGTATTTCAAAGGTTCCTGAGTTCCGAACACTCTCTCCAAGTTTCTTTCCTCCGTTTTGCACTTTTACACTTCCTGTACTTTTCCTCCAAAATTCTTTCAATCCAAACAGCCCCTAGGTTGGAACCTGGACATGAATCCTCCACTTAAATTGTCCTAAAAAGCACAGCCCACTTTTGCATAACCAAAATAAGGTTTTGCAGTCGGGAGGAAATCCGTATTCGCTCTCCATCTGGCAATTCCTCTAAACTGCAAAAACTTATGAGTTGAGGAGCGACGATGGCTCTCTAAAGTACGCACAAGATATAGAAAAGTTATCGGAAGAAACAAAGATATAGAAAACGCTTTTTACTCGAACGATTCTAAATAATGGTTTAGAGAGTAAATTAGAAAGACTCTTCGGAGATATGCTATGCTTAAACTCTTATTATGGCTAGCCAATGCATAGGCGCAAACATTTTATTCAATATCATACGGATCCATAAATACACAAACGAAGAAATTTGATAGTAGTTAGTCATTAGTTGAGAAAAGAAAAGAAAATAAATTTCAGGATCCATACTTATATGCAGAATAATGTACCAATGTAAAATGACTAATTGGGGTCTTGTTGAGCGAAGAAGGCATGCCGCTCAACACGATCCCGGAACACAAAGGTAGTCGGACGAGTAGCGACAGTGTTGTTGGTACAATTAGCAAGGTTGATCTGCTTCAACACCTTCTTTTCTGTCAGATCGTACAACACCGCCACAGAACCTGCTTTCAGAAGGATCACATTCTGCCCCATGACGCCAGCGTTCATCACCCAGCTTGCAGGCGAGGGCATGTTGACCCGGAGGCGGCGTGTCCAACTAGTGTCGTCGTTGTAATCCTGCAGCGCCCACAGGTCCATGTCCATGGAACCACCACGGAGGACGGCCGCCACTGTCAGAACCCCATCTGTCTCCAGCAGGAAGGGCTGCTCGTTGTAGGGATCCGCCAGCGGAGGGCGAGATATGTGTCGGAAAGTCTCGGACGCAGTGTCGAACGCCAAGATCTTGTCGGTGTCGTACACATCGGGATGACGCAGCCAGTGAAGATTACCCCGGTAACTGAGGTAGGCCTCGGGGATCAAGGTGTAGAACTGGACAACTGTGGCCGCTGGTCCAAGCCGGCGGGCTCGGGAAGCACCGAGGGGCAGAACGTAGTGCGACGCCGTTCTCCTCGCCGCCGCCGCCGTCTCGTCGTCGTCGTCGTTGGCAAGGTATAGGAGCCGATGCTCCCCTGACGGCCTGTGAACGTACAAGCCGCAGGGCCGCATCATGCCGGCCGGACGAGGCAGAATGAGCCACCGCCGGCTCACCGGGTTGCAGACCAGGAAAGTGAAACCATAACGGCCTCTCTCGAACAGCAGGAGGCCGTCGCATGAACCCAGCAAGCCCAGGCCATCCTCGTCGTACGGATCGGAAGGAGGGACCTTGAACGCGGGGTACTCGGGGTACCGGAGGCGGAGAAGGCGTGGTTGCTTCGTCTCGTCGTCGAGGCTGGCCAGCGGGACGGTGTACAGCGCGCCTGGCCGGGCTCTGAGAATGAGCTCCAAGGGGCGTCGGCGGGCGTCGGCGGCGAGGAAGACGGGGCTAGTGGTGATGCGCCGCCATGCCCTGCAGACGGCACGGCAGGTGAGCACGGAGGTGGACGGGACACGGAACATGATCTCGGCCACCAAATCGTCGCTTAGACGATCCATGGGACCAGTGGACGACGTTTCGGTTGCTTGAGTAGTCGCCGGCGACGCCATCATCACGAATGCACGATCGAACAGCAGATCGATCTGTTCGAATCGGTGTACGGCTGTTTCCTAACTAGTCCCCTCATTTGCTAAAAAAAAAAACTAGTCCCCTCATCGATCCTACTTTTGCGGTGCCTCTCTCCGGTTCTCTCATGAATCTTTGGTTTTCATGAGCAACACGAAAAGAAAGTCACCATCGTCTACGTCTCAAACACGCCAAGCTCGCCCTATCTATCAGCAATCGCCCAAAAAACAGCCGCCGCCAGGCAGACCGATGCCCGCTTGAACACTCCCGGGGAAGTCGGGGGTTTTCCCCCGGTATTGCTATCTATCAACCGATTAATTTAGGAGCTTGTATCAACTGATTTTTGAACTGTTCGTTGCCGTCGGCCGATGGCCTAGGCCATCCGATGCGTCCGCCATTGTTAGGTGTATGCATCCATCATCCGTGCGTGCGTAGTACGCGTAGTACGTGGCAAAAGTGGAGCAGCGGCCGCTATGCCTGCTGGATGGGCACGTGCACGCAGGAGATTCGATCCAGGACACGTCGTATGCAGTTCGTCATGCACGCTTCTCGCTATAGAAAAATTTGTAAATTTGTAAGTTTGTCAAAAATTTGATGATATTTGTAAACAATTTGATATATATTTGTCTGATATGAATCAATAGAAAAAATTTATTTTTTTTGAAAATTTTGGTATATATTTGTGTTATTCCCAAATTATATCACTATATTCAAT